ATGATAACGCTCCGTCGCCTCAGGAGAAGAGCGGCCTCATTTTTCTTTCAAGTTCCCCGCCAATAGGTCCACTCCCCTCCCCTCTTCCCCAACATTTCCGGTAGGTTTGATAGGATCCGATGTGTTCTATGTAGTAACTGATTGTTGACTGGTTGTTTGCAACTATGTATTGTAAAGTTAAGGTCTGAAGAAGGCATTATATGCCGAAAGCTAACCAATAAAGTGGAGTATCAAGAGCTTCGAAAATACACATGAAAAACAAGTTGGAATGAAGCTCAGAGATAGCAGCATTTTGGAATAAATACTATTGTAAGAAGTCCACCTTTTCCATCATCTCGAGGTGAAAACTTTGCAAAGAATCGTAACAGCAAAAAGAATAACAGAGAATACTAGAACTGCAGAAAAACATCCCCTCGTCACTTGGCGATCAGCTAATTGCGTGCTGAACGTGTGGGTCTAGCGCGAATTGCAATCGCAACCTCGCACTCGTCTGACACATCATCGACCAGTGGGCGTGGCATCCGCCCGATCCGGTAATGGGTCTCCTATTATGCCCTAGTTCTTGCGTTTTTGGGCCTTCCCGTTGCTCTTGGGGGCCACTGGGTAATCTTAAGTGAAAACCTGAGAAGCTATTTTTATCGTGAGCTTTGATTATCGCCTTTGATAACTCGACATGACAAGGGCACTTTTGGGTGTGTACTTCAGCACAATTGGTTGTGGAGCCCCTAGTACGCCCTGTCCACCGGTTTCTCAGCCCGACAACGTCTCATGTGCTATATTCGGAGGCCACAGGTTTATCCTAAGGAGGAATATCAGAAACCTCTGTTATCGTAAAATGTGCCTCTAGTTGTTAACGGCTGCTAGTGATAACCATGATGAAGACATACTGATATGCGTCAATGCAGTACAGCCGCTCACTATTCAGCCGATATTATATTGGATATTGGGTCTATGAATTCCTTTTTTTCATGATTATCTTATACAAGACATGTGCTCAAATGTTTCACAGAATAATTACTCGGAACAGAAAATTTAATGAGATGTGTGTGTGTTTTCACCAAACAGTTTCAGCTCTTGTACGTGAGGAGGCAATAGTCATAGTGGGAGTTGCTCAGCGCCTTACGTTTATGAATTTCGCTGGGTAGCACAGTTGCGGAATTAATTACGACATTATCAAAGAAATAACATTGACAATAGAACGCAGCTACGACAAGAGCGCCAACACTGTTGGAGTGGGAAGGTTATCGATTTTTTTATCGTTCCTACGAAAAGCTAAAACTTTATTATATTAAACCCCAAATTACATCGTTGCCTAGTCAGATAAAGTCTCGATTTCAACAGTACGTCTTGAAATTTCTATAAGATCGAGCTAGGTATACCACTAACCGTTGCAGTTGCAACCGCTGCTACCTAGGTCAGCTATAGCCTAGTGCCTTTGATCCTCACAATGAGATTAATCTCCTTATTTATCCCCTTCCAATGTATTCTGGAGAACATTCTAAAATTATTTCCGCCTTTACAAAGTATAATATAGTGAATGGAGTGGGCGTACAGCAGTTTGAAGTGAACATATTTATGGCTTATAAGAATTGGATTATGGGGAAACGGAAAAACGAGAGTGTCCGTCTCAAAGACAAGCGCACAGTCCGTTCTCCTTGTAGTTCCAACTAATACCAACGGCTCGCTTCTCGTGCCTTTTCTCCCTGCTTGATATCAGCATCGAGATCTAAAACATAGCACATCATGAGCTGTCTGATACTTCACAATTGGTTGTAAGTTTATTCCCTTTTTCAGTACAGAGCCCACTCCGCCAATTACATTTGCACTTCTCGCAGTTGCATTTTGAGCAGGGTTCTCCTTGTTCGTAAATCTCTTCCCCATAGATGTTTCCTCTAAACTGGCGCTAATTACAACTTTAAGAACTTTAATGGTACGTTGCTGAAATGAGCTCACGGCTTTAGGTAGCGGCAACCTGCTAGCGTCATAGCGTCACACCATTTTACGCCACATCCCAGTTCCGTGCTTGATTGCCAGACCATCTGGAAAGTTCATGCTTTATTTGAAAACGAAAACTGTGGCTGCGGAATCGGCATCTA